TAAGTGGTCTTGAGAACACTAAATGGAAAATGAAAATTTTACTACTGCCTGAAAGCATCGCACCTCTGGGGCTGGTAAGAACTATGCAAAGCTGATAGATGATTCATGAATGTTGCATGTCATTCCAAAAGCAGCATGTTTCTTAGTCACTTACCAAAAAGAATTGTTCTCTTGATGATTACTGTATGTTGTATGTGGATTTATGAACAACAAAGGATATATTTTTGAGTTTCTGAATACCTGGTATTTCTCCATCCATGGCTTTACTTTTTCTCTGTAAGGGGGCCAAGGCACATCAAAGTATATTATCAAAAAACACCAGCTGAGTCTGAACCCCATGTGGGCTGCTCTGAAAGTTGGTTCAAGTTTTTGAATTTTATTCTAAGCAGATTTACTTCTCTCCTACACGTTCTGCCACAGGTGTGATACTGTATAGTTCAGATACAAATATGAAGGGTGCTGCTTTTCTTCTGCTAGTGTATTTGCCTCAGTCTTGGCTTTATGGGTGGCTTTGTTGGTCACTTGTGTTGGAGGGGCCTTGGTGGGTAGTGGTGTAGCTGTTGCTGTGAGGGAAGGACTTGGTTCATGCTGTGTAGCTGTGGACACTTAACTTTGTGTTCCGAGTCATCTCTCAAAGGTGCCTGCCTCTCTCTCACTGCTAAACTATGAACTTGCTTCCTACTTGGGAGTTCTGAATTATAACTACGTTAAATACTTAAAATGTCATAAAGCAAACAAAGTAAATATCCCCCCTGGATCAGGTTCAAAGAAAAAAAAAGGTAACAAATATTTAAAAGAAGAGAAGGAAATAGGTAAAATAAGAAACAGAAGACACTATTTTGAGTGTGTGCAGTGTTCACGCTTACTAATGTATATATTTGAGACGGCTCAGGGTTGGTTCTGAGATTTTTTTCTTCTGGGAAATAGTAACGTACACTATTTGGCACTTCTGCCAGGTAGCTGATGTCCTGAACTACTGTGGCAGCCTTGCAAGGGCAGTTTTTGCAAGACTGGAAAGTTTTCTTAAGGGACATATGCAGACTTTTTTTCCAGCATGGGGGGGCCTATGTTTCCTTGCCTCTGTATAGTGCAAAGAAAATTAGTCCCTATTTTCCCCAATAGTCATCAGGGTAGTAATGTGTATAATCAAAATATGTTCCTAAACATGTTTTGTTCTGCAATAGGATACTCAGGTTTTGGTAGCAAATTTTCAAAATACTGCCCTTGGTCCTCTGACTGCAGAAGAGCCCTTTGAACTGCAGTCCTTGCTGTGGTTAGTGGCCATCGCCAGTGTCTTGCAAACTGATTTTCCACATCAGGCTTGGAAGTTTCCACTTTTAGCCTCAGAAATGTGACAGGGCATGTAGGTGAACTCAGCAGCAGAGGATGTTTCTTGTGCAGTCACTTTTAATGTCCTCCCAACAACAGGAAGAAAAAGAGCTGGGGCACTTTTTCCACTCTGCAACCTCTGAAAGTAACCACTGAAGGAGATAAAAGTGTATGTGTCAGCAGTTTCTTATCACCCAGTCAGCTGTGTAATGAGTGCTCAGATAAAAATTGTTGATATATTCCCAACTATTTAAAACATTCTTTGGTTTTAATGCTCTGGCTTATCCTAAGTACGTTAGAGAGAGCAGCTTTTGGTTTGTTCTGAAGACTAAGTAGTTAATGTTCAAGGCAGGTGTTGAAAAAGTGATGGTTGCCTTTTTTGGAAGAGTCTGTTGAATTCTTTCCAGAAAAAATAACGTGCTTGGCTCATTTAACCTTGCCTTAGGTTCGTGTAGTAAAAATCCTAACATTGGCAGGCACAGCAGAACTCTGCACTCCTTTCTAAAACCTGGTAGTGGAACCAGCATTTCAAATAGACTTTAGTATGTGATTAAAAAAATAATTGATGATAAGCTTCACGTTTATTTAAAGATGCTGACTGTATGATCATTTAGTGAGGATGCTTGTGCCAGACTTTTTAGTTGCTCTGTTTTCTGTCTGTCAGTTCCTCCCTAGTAGGATACGGTAACTTTGGGGTTCACTGAAAGGATCTGTCTGTCAGGAAGACATTTGTTCATGCCGCAGGGTGATGCAGAAGGCTTTCAAGTTTTAATTAGCAATAAATGGAAAACCAAGTGTATTCTGAGGAAGAAAGCTGTTGCATTAGCAGATGTACAAATATCTCAAATCTCAGATGAAAAATACAGTGAAAATGCATTATTGCGAGCTAATGCATTTTTTTGGTCAATATTTAGGAGGAATAATATCTTCTCTCACGTTTTCCTCAAATGTCTTAAAAGGTTACACTGGTACTTTACTCTGATACTGACCATAAAAAAATACCAGAAACATTGTGAAATAGTCTAAATGAAAAGCAACTACTGTACATTTTGGATGAACTGTAGTATTTTTGAGGTAGTTAAGGAGGTGTGTTCCTGAGAGTGGAATGTCGGCATCTATTCAATATCCCTGAAAAATAATAATTGGTTAAGTCCTTAAATTCTGCAATCTGTATGCATGGGAGGTTCTTCTAGTTAGGCCAGAGCTCTACAAAGATGTCCCCCATGTCTCAGATAAAAAAAGGCAACATTGCTAAGAGGTGCTCTGTACGCGATCCCTGCATGACCTGGCTTGTGCTGTGTCAGTGTCATCCTATGAGACTGTGTACACTATAAAATTTAATGCGTTAGTAGCATTGTAGACATGCCTCATAAAATCAGTCCATGGTGTAGCTGCTTCTAAGTGGTGAAAGTACAAAGTGAATGCTATTTGCTAAATATGTTTTAAAGATAACTCTGTTTCTCTCTTTTCCTAATATTGTAGATTTGGGGGCAGTGGATTTACTCTAATGGCAGAGTTTGCTTTCTTATTTGAGAAGTATGAGAGTACTGGGAGAACATGGTGTATTCTGTGTTACACTGAAAAAAGACTTTTTTCATTTAAAGGAAATGTTTTATGGTAGTCATATGAAAAACAACAAATAAGGAAGATCGTTCAGAATTGAAACAGATGTTAGTTTAAACTTTGAAAACTATTCTGGCAAAAGGATTCCTAAGCTGGTTTTTGTGACAGGTCTGGTCAAATTGAATGCTGAATTACATGGGCCTTCTCTTAGAGGAGAGTATGTGATATGTGCGTAATAAATGCTAACATAATAGCTGGAAGCACAGGGAAGAACTTTGAAATTCTTTCTGTCTGCCAAAGGGTGTAATTTATGTGTCTACTTTGACAAATATTTGTAGGTGCTAAACAAACTGATATATTACATCCTGAAATAGTGCTGAGAACAGTAGCTCCAGGGAAGATAATAGTTGGTTGCCGTTACTTAATTTCTGTAATTGGAACTTGACTTCAGATAATCTCTGTTAAATAATTGCTATTGATGTATTTTGTTGTTTAAAAGGTTAGAGAGATACTTATGACCATTATCCTGCTATAGCTTGTAAATAATACTCAGGACAGATTAGAAATAGTTATGATACATTTTTTCACTCTTCCAATCATCATCATTAGTAGTTTTGGATTTTCAGCTGGAGAAAAAAAATACACTTTTGTTCCACCAAAGAAATCTGGGTTAGTAGAAAGACAGGGAAGGGGAGGGGGGAGAAGAGCAGCAGAGTGACTCAGACTTCTTCCTAGGCTGCTCTGAGGACAGCACAAGAAAATGGTACTTTTTTCCTGAAGCCTTCTTGTCTACTGCAGCAGTTTGGAAGTAGGGGCTGTATTATATCTGGGCAAGCACTGCTTACACACCACTACAAGGAATATGTCCAAAGAAATCTTCACTGGTGCTTTCAAACCTGAAAGCTTATTCATCTTGCTGTGCGTTCTCACTGAAGCAGGTGTTATTCTTGACTTGATGTTTTAGATCTTAGTGACAGCGTTCATGGAAGGACCAGCCTGGGAAGGGCATGCAGGCCCCAGACTGCAGGTACCTTGAAGGAAGAGACAGCGAAGTGTACGGATGGGTGATGGCTCCTGACGTTGGGCAGATGAAGGAATGCTGCTCTTTCACCACTTGCTGTAGGGACCTCTTGAGAGCTGAGAAATGTTCTGGAAGTGTTGGCCACATTCCTCTGCAGGGACAGGAGAGCCAAAAGGTTGCTGTTGGGATGATCTTGCTTTGCAGTAAATCTGGAATGACTTGTTTATCTCTCAAGAGCAGTGCAAGTTGAAGCAGGTCCCAGTCTGAAGGAGAGTGACCCTGTGCTGCCGCCTTTTCTTGAGTGATGCTACTGCTGCTCCAATGAAGTTGTATTTGAAAATCTTAGGCTTTCATGCATAACCTGTTACACTTCTACTTACTGTTTTTCCATTTTGACTGTTTTAAACAATGTTTTAGTTTTTCCAGTCAAGACCTGAGTTAATGTAACCTATTTATAAGGATTTATCTAAAGATGTGTGACTCATCTGCTTTATGTGTTAGACTAATGCATTTCCTTGCTTCCTGTAGATAAAGCAACAGTAAATATCCTCCCATTCTCTTAGCCTTTCTCTTTCCTTACTCTGTGTTTCTCTTTTGGCCTTTATCTGTCACTGAGCTTCGACTCATGTTCTTTCTGATTTGGGAGTTTCTTCAGTAGTTCCCAGTCTTATGGAGCTTCACATCCTTCTCTCCCTTCAGTTCCTCAGACCATCTTCTTCTTACTCTCTCCTCTTGTTTTCCTCTTGTCTTCCAGCCCTCCCCTTGCCCCCACAGTTCAGGTCCCCTTGCAGCACTGTCGTACTGCTTCTGCAGCAATACAACTTCGGAGAGTGGCTCAGAGTCCTCTGTTAGTCAGCTGCCACATGCACCCCAGCCAGGTTGATGGGTGCTTCATTTTTTAAAAACATCTCTGAAAAAGGAATCATTATGCAAATGTTAAAACACATGAAGTTTAGGCATTGTTGGAAATAAGCTGTAATCACCTTCAGTGAATGTATTTCTGTGTGACAGATTACATTGCTTAAACATGCTACCTGTCTGTGCGGGTAAATGTACCACATTAAAAATACGTTTTTATTCCCATCAGGTGTCTTTAGGTTCTGTTGTTCAGTTTGAGAAAGGAAATTTCTCCTTGTCAGCAGAAACAGAAGAAAAGCTTTTTCCTGAGAAAAATGAACACCTGCTACAGTGGGCCCAGAAGGAATATGGAGCAGTAACATCTTTCACTGAACTCAAAATATCAAGAAACATCTACATTAAAGTAGGAGAAGGTAAACCAAAACAAAACCAACAGAATTGATGGACACTTCTAGAAATTGAGAATAAATCTTGCTGTAGTATTATTTCACATTTTTTATTTTAATCTTTAAACGTACCTGTCATTTTCCAAGAGATGTGATATGAAACAGGAAGGCAGAGAAATAAGAGCAAGTCTAAAGACCAGACCTTGGATTTAGGCAACTTCTAATGGATTTTGGTGCCATAATTTTATGCTCATAAATGTCAATGCAGTTGGCCAGAATTTTACAGGAGTCAAAGCTTCACCTTTTAAAAGGAATAAACAATTCATGGTGATTGTTTGGGTGTCTTCATCTAAAGGACTGAAGTGGAGAACCTGAGGTGGGGGGTAATTTCTAGAAAGACCCGAGTTACATTTTTTTTCAGTATTTGCTTGTATAAGGATCCAGACCACTTTCGGCAAAGAATTATTGCTTTCCTCACCAAGATAAGTTGCCTCAGTCTCATGTCCTTATGTATTTTTGTCCAGAGGAGAAAGATTTCCTGTCCCTGTGAGCCACATGCCAAATTGATCAGGTGGCCTAAAGCAGGTGGGAGAGGACTCAAGCTCCTCAGGGCTTTCACAGGCCCATATTAGGGTAGGGTTTGAGCTGTAGCTGAGCAGTGTTGGAACAACTTAACAATATGAGCCTCTGCAGCACCTTCTGGCTCATGCTTTCCCTCAGCTGGCTGCTGGTCACATAACATGTCTTCTGCAGGGAAGTTCCACCTGAGCTGGTCATAAAATGTGGATGACACAAGAGCCACAACTGTTCACTACATTCTTGGAGCAAGACAGTCGGTTCAGGAGGGTTTATCCCCTACTCCTCTCTATTCAAGTTTGTTTTCTGGATAATACATGGTTAGTAAAAGGAACTTTGCAGGGAGAGCAGACTTTCCTTTATTGTGCAGGATGATTGGGGGTGAAATTTTCTTTTTTGCAGGTACGGGATGTTTTAAGATGTCAGTGTTCTTTACCTAATGGCCTGCAATTCACTCTTCTTTTCGTTCTCTGAAGATGTCATCCAAGTTCAGGCTAAAGCAAACATCCAGGTTTAGGCTAAACCACAAGCAGCAAGACTAAAGGCTGGGAAAAGTGAACTGGAACTGATTTGCATTGCAGCTAGTGGTCCAGATATTTTGAAACTAATTATTGTCTCTCGAGAAGTTCTGTGATGGGGAAAGTAGAAATCAATAAAACATTTTATCAACATGCAATGAGTACTGGTGAGGTCAGCATTTACTAGCACCGGCAGCCTAATTTACTAGTACTTCAGCAATATTTCTGGAGAAACTCCTGCATAGCTGAACTAGTTGGCTACAAAAAAAAAACCCCAAAACCTTCTGTGGAGAAAACATTCTTTCCTAACCACCTGTATCTGATCATTTGATTTCCTGAAGCATGAGGCTTGCCCCCCAAAATCGGAACATGCCTGTGTTGGTTTTATCCAAATCCTGCCAAATTTGTACAGGATTCCCCTGCATGATTTTTGTTCTACTTGGCACCAGTCTTGGATTTTAATGCCAGAAAATCATTCAGAAATATATTTATTAGCTTATTAAAGTGCACTTGGAACGTATACATGGGAGTAGTGGTCTCTGCATTGCAGAGATGAATGTTTAATTAGATATGTCAAAAAACAGATAAAATTTTGTTTGTTGATTTGCACATCTCCAGTCAAACTAGGCAGCTAAATAGGAGAGCTTTGCATCATCTTTAGAATGTGTTAAAACACAATTTTATTAGGAGTAAGTACACAAAATGGAACTTGGCAGGCAACCAAAATAGACAGTTTCTGAGAAGGCTCCTACAAACTAGCTCAGCTGTAACCATATTTGATTTTGATTTAAATTCTTGGCAGAAGAATGAATATGCATGTATGTGTGGGGGTTATGCATGTGTTCGGGGTGGGGAGAGGGTCAGTTCTTGAACTGCAGCAGTTGTGTGAGGAGTTCTATGGAAATCACATGGATGTGGAACTGGACTGCTGCTCTGCAGAGTGAACGATGGAATCCGTGGATTCCACAAACCACAGTGTATGCTGATGGATGTTTCAGGCTTTTCATACAAAACTCACACTTCTCAAGTGCTTTTGTAAGGTATCCTCAGCTGCCATTCTGAATCACAGCTCATATTACTCGTAAACTATAGGTGGTCATATGAAGTAGTTCCTTGCTACGTGACCAATACAGAATTTAAAGGCAGTATTCCTGTAATTGTCTACGTTTCAGCTTCACTCACATTAGAAAAATCTGAAAATGGAAGATGTAGCATTTTAGAAGTGGAGGCTGTAGCTGAATACAGCAAACAGAATATGCAAGCCAGAGGACAAAAAGATCTGGAGAAGGGTGATCTTTCATAGAATAAAACTGCTTGTGACACCATGGGTCTCTGAAATCACTTTTGAAGCTGCAAATGAAAGGCAGCTGAGCGAGCTAGCAAACTGGGTCAAGGCCAAGTGCATCTGAATCCTGTTGATTCAAAAGAGTGGCTGATAAAATATTGCAGGGATGGTGAGCACAGTGAGAACTTAAAGGGGCCAGAATGAGGGTTTGGAGGAAGGGGGCACAAGAAGTGGGGTCCTTGTTCTTGCTTTGATTTGTGTAGTGAAGGAGATGGCAAAGTGATTGCTGTGATAATTGCTGTCAGATTCTAGAAAGCAGGACTGCTCGTGGTGAAAATGATCTTGCGACACGTTTTTCAGCAGAAGTAAGTTTAATTTCTCATGCTTCAGTAAGATATGATTGTACAAGTCAGGAAGACTTACCAGTTAGCTAAATGTTACCTAATGCATCCAGTACCACCAGTGTAAATCCAGGGTGGATGTGCTAGCCTGGAAGGAGCCTAATTTCAACACATTTCTTAGCTAAATAAGAAAAAAACCACCAGTCAGCCCTAACAATAACTAGACTGGAAAATGTACAGTCTATTTACAGATGGTAACACTGTGCTCCTGTCCTGGCAGAAGCTGAAGCTTTAACCCTGGCTCGAATTTGTAGCCTGTACACACTAGCATGCATATCCTACATGCTATACTTGCTTGGTTTAATACTTGTAGGTGATTGCATTGTGTCAGGCTTTAGCTGTGTGTTCTGCTGGGGTGTGAGTACCGCCAAGAGTTTCCACCCTCCCTCCAAAGACCACTGCAGCCCCTTCCCTGCTCCCATTTATACCCTGCCATTAAATGTCAGTCAAGGTTCTGATTTCCGTCGTGCTAAGGGCTAGTAAACTGCAAAATACGCACGAAACCCCCCCGCCATCAGAGTGGCTGAGGAAAATACCAAATGCCTCGCTTATCCCCAGCTCAGACTTTGAAAGGCAAGCTCTGCTTGGATGAGATTTTTATTGCTGAATCAAACTGCTGCTGCCCAGGGCGCCTGTCTTGGAGAGTGACACCTGATTAACAGTGCTCATTTTCACAAAAACCTTCTCATGATTTTAAGCTGGGATATTCAACTGATATCCAATTTAGCTAAGAACCTGCGAATGACACCTGATTTGTGTAGAATAGAGCAGACAGTGTCTGTCCTTGTCTGTAAAATGGAGGTGCTGCCCACAGAAGCTACAGATCCCAGTGTGCAATCCTCCATCTTCATCCGAGCAGTCTGGCACGTGCCGAAGGGGAAGGCGGCTGTGGGCTGCTGCGCAGAGCTCCACCGTGTGCCTTCTGGCACGCGGGGCCCCATGGCACCCGGGCCTGCTGGCTGGAGACCCCCTGCTGAGGGTATTACGGGTGAACCTCATGTCTGGTTCCATATTGGGAGTCTGTGGAGATTAGAGAGGCGCAGGGTCCATAAATGGACTGTTTGCTGGCTGGTTTAGTAAGGTTTTTAATTGATTGCAGACACCTGCAGTCCTTTTCCAAAGTAAGTAGACAGCGCTGAAACTAAAAAAGTATAGTGACCAAAGAAAGATGAAATAGATTCCCTTTTCTTTTCTCTTCCACCCTGGATCTTGGTAACTGGTATGTGTGAGAGTAAATACATTTTGGTGAAGGGTAGGTAAATGGGTAAGTCAAGCAGCCAGTGATAGAGTTAAAATTTGCTGCAGAGGAAGAGCGTGCTATCGAGCAGAGGCCCGGGCTGGGGAGCCTCCATGCTGGTGGCGGCAAGAGCAGCAGTTCTTGAGAGCTCCAGAGACGTTTAATGGAAGTGCCAGGAGCAGGAACCAAGTTCTTTGCAATGGCAAACGATAGCACGTGTGGTAATTATCCACAAACTACTCAGAGGTTGTTATTTTATGGCTTGAATTGTGTTGTACGGCAGCTGAGAAACAAATACCTAGTATCTCCGTCTGTGTGCGTGTGTATGTATATATATAAATTCAAGCTCAGTGTAGACCATTTGGGATCATTTTCCATTCTGTGCTGTTGTGGGAGGAGCTGGCAGAACTGCAGCTGCATTCAAGGCTAATCTGGCAGGGCACATACCAGATGTTAGAGGAGTGCTTTGGTTGGGCAGTATGAATAGTTACAGCCTCATACAGCTTTCATAGATTCTGTAGGGAAGACAGTAAGTTTAATATTCAAAGACTACTTTGTGTAAGATCAGGAGAAGAAACTCCCCTAATTGTTTCTGCAGTGGCTGGGGTCACAGGAGTCTCTGGTCTCCCTGCAAAGTTGTGTACCATGCACACAAATGCGCTTCAGGGGTGACATTTCAGCTCTCGTTTAGGGAGCAAATGCTAACAGTGGTCTCAGCTCAGCTTTTAAGAGTTTGTCCAGTTTTGCATGCATAATGCATTATATTTTATTTTTTTCTTTTTTCTATCTTGCTACTGACGTTAATAGGAAAGCCTTCTTTGTGAAGCAAAGGTCGAAGAGGCAGCCATTTGGAATTGCATTCTTACAGGACTTTGTGACTTTAAACATGATAATTAGTCTTTCTGTGTATTGACAATTCATATGTAAAGCTATCTCAGAAATACAAACTATTCCTATTTTTCAATCGAAATACTGCTTCTTGGGGTACACCAATGTAGGCTGTGCATGAGAACTTCATACTAAGTGACTATTTTTTACGTGTTGCATTGTACAATGGTTAACGGTCGTGATCAGCTAGGCAGTTAAAACCAAAAAGAGAGATTGAATATCTACTCTAGAATTTCTTAATTTCACCTATGGATATTATGGTCAGACTTCCTTAATATCAACAACTGATTTCATCCTTTTCTTGCTATATTGAATTTTCCATGCACAAGAGAACTGCAGTATTTCTAGACAACACTGACTCTGACTATACAATATATAGGAAAATATATTGAGTAAGGAAAGGGAGAATACTTTCTGTGATCTTTTAAATATGGTAAGTTTATAATAACAAGAATAGAACATTTTCTAAAGGGAGAAGGAATTGATCATAAAACTTTTCTATGAATTAATTTCAAAAGAAAGCTTTTTTTTAAAGGTGCAAGGAATAAATTAAATGTATTTTATTCACTCTGAAAAATACTCCTGTATTTTGCTTCAGTATTGAGATTTCTCTTTGTAGGGATTTTCTTTCATTAAAAATTTAAATCTGTAAATAGAAACTCTTCAGTTTAGAAGTATATATGTTGTTGCAACAGTGATCTCCCTTTCAATATTATGTTTTGTCATAAGTGCTTATGATAGATAATAGATATACCTTTTAGCCTAAAGACCTATGTCACAAAATATAGTGCCGCACTGAAGTAGATGCAGTACATATATGCATGTAAGCTGATATCTATGTGTAAAGGTGCATATGCTTTCTATTTTTTCCCCCCTCCAGATCAAGTTTTTCCTCCCTCGTGCAACATAGAAAAGAATTTTCTCTCTTTAAATTACCTTGCGGGATACCTACAACCAAAAACAGCAGAGGGTTGCCTTATGTCTAACTTAGTCCAAGAAAGAGAAGTTCATATCATTGAACTAATCACTCCAAATTCCAATCCATACAGGTAAAGTATTGTCTAAATAGACTAAATCTGTTTGAAATCACAGCTAAAGATTTTACCTGTCTATCGAAAATCAACTGAAAGTAGCCATTTCATCCTTACAGGAAGAGCTTGGACCTTAGTACTTTGCCTTAAATAGAAATTAGTTCTTCAGTATGTAAAGATTTTGGATTCTGCTTCACAATCCCAGGATTTTTCTGGACAAGACTGTAAAGTGCAGTTTTTATGGACTACGTCCTGCCCCCCTTCTTGCTCAATCAATCAATTTTTTCCAAGAGTAAGGTGAATAAGGGAATATTAGTAAGGGCAGCATCTAACAGACAGGCTTTAGGATGAGACCACCGTATGAGGAGGTGACAGAGAGGTTAAAAGTTACCTTGACCTGTCACAGGTAGGGATCACTGGCAGCAAGGCCTAGGGCAGTGGCTCCCCAACAGTGGTTCAGAGGTCGCAAGTGATCTGCGGTCCATGGTAATTGTTCCACAGTTGGTCTGCAGAATCATAACAATATTTTCTGTCAAGTTTCCAGTTGACTTTAAGGGATAGTTTGGGAGGTAAAATATTTAAAGCATTCATCCTTTGCTGGTCTCTCCTAGGTCTTAGTGGGACCACATGGATGGGGTTTGTTTCAGATAGTCACACCTGGAAAAGCTCTTCATAAGTGCTGAACAGAAATTTCCTGTGAAACTTAGATGGTTTTCCCTTTTGCAAGAAGAAAAGTACAATTTCATCAGAGATAAGGTAGAATTAAAATCCTGTCTACATACTGCAGACACTACATTTGTGCGCATCCCATCCCTAATGAGGAAATCACACAGGGAGGTAGAGGTGGGAAGAGGGTTCTTTGCAAGAAGGGTAATTATCTCGTTGAAAGATGGTGAACTGACAGCCTGAGAATATTCTTGCCTAGAAACCTTGGGAGAGTAAGAAAGTGCTGAGATTCAGCAGAAGTGGAGTAGGTAAGCCCAAATGATCTGCCTCTGTGTGGTGTGAGTTGCAGCCCCATCCTAAACAGAGCTGTTCTATAGCATCAACATCATTTTAAGTCCCTTGCAGTGTTACGCAATGACAGCCCTGTCTCCGAGCCCTCTGGGCTTTTGGCTTTGGCCGATAGTATGATAGGAATTTGTTTTTCAGATAGTAACACTGCAAAATGTTTAAATGTTTTGTTATTAAAAGTAAAAAAAGTAATAAGTTAAATTCCTCTTGCTTCGTTCTTAGTTTTATGCATTATCCACAGCTATCTTTACAAAGTTCATATGCACGAAGAAACATACAGAAGGTGAGCTGGACACGTGTAAAACTGCAGGAGGTGAAAGAAAGGTCCCAAGATGCACTAAGTCTCAGTGCAGAATATTAGCTGAAACCTGTTACTTGGGGGTGAGCACGTTCCTGTGACATATGGTCCCATAAGATAAAGTAAAGGTTTTTCTGTTGAATTAGTATTTTGCACGACGAGATGTTATTGATGGGTACAAACCCATTTGCTCTACTTATTTTACTGAGGTCTTGAAAATCTGGATAGTGTTCATCTATTTTCCAGCAAGTAGTAGGCTGGACATCTGTTTTCTTTTCTTTTTAAAGTAAGTATATATCCAGAAGTATTGGAAACTGAATACATGGCTTAATTCCTCAACACACACACGATCCTAAGCAAAGTAATTTCCACAATTTCATTGCCTAGGCAGAGACACTCCCCAACATAGTATTTGTGCATTTTTTTTTTTTATTAACCTGCTTAATTTATCTTTTTGCTTTTTTTAAGGTATTATTTTGAGCTTTAATACAGTTACAGCCAGAGGAAACTGAAACAGCTATATTTAGGCGCTTTGCAGTGAAATAAGAAAACAATATTTACTTTATAAAGCAAGCTGCTAGTCATATAACTAACCTGCTCTAAATAATAGCTGAAATGAGTAGCACACTCCTTGTAAACAAGAGACAGAAATATTATTTGTCTAAAAAGTACTTGTTTCTATTGTTATGCAAAATCATTTAAGCATATGTGGAATAACAATCTGTTTTGCACATGTTGTGTTGCCTGGGATAATCTCCAGCATTTTAATCAGCTGGCCAGACAGTGGAAACATGATGGATTGGAAGAAGGTTGATAGCTGAAAATTTCTGGCATTCTGGCCTAACTTTCTCTCTATTTTCCACACACAGTGTTTTCCAGGTGGATATAATCGTTGACATTAAACCATCTCAACCAGGCGCCAAACTTGTCAGAGACATCGTACTTATCCTCAAGTGTAAAAAGTCTGTCAATTGGGTTATCAAGTCGCATGATGTCCAGGGAAAGCTGGAAGTGATTGTAAGTTAAGGCACCTTTAATTTTCAAGACGTATCGTACTGCAACAGTATAGAATCCATTTAAATGTGATATAGTGCTAGACCATATTGATTTCTGAATGTTTTCTCTCTTAGCTGCTTTTTTTTTTAATTATTACTGCAGTAAACACAGAAACTATATATTTTTTTCTCATTAACTTTTGATATGTGGGCTACTAAACTAATATCACAGAAGCCAGGTGGTTAGTGCAAGGATTTCGGGTCTATGTCTTTTTGACTTCTGTTGAAGTACCCTAAACTCCAAGTTGGATGTTCATCTCCCTTTTTGCTGTTACTTTGGTGAGTGGATCTGCAGGTTCATCTCAGAAGTTGGAAAGATGCCTGTGAGCGCAGAATGGATAATCATAGATAGGTGGCACACACCCACGTCCCTTTAGAAGTGGAAACTTTTTTTACTCCTTCCACTTGTAGGTTGTAGTAGTCTCTAGCCCTCTTCCCTGCCGGTACTTCTGTCCTCAGCAAGTGTTTGGTCAAATTGACCTCACCTCTCCTCAGACCACAAGTAGTAAATTTTAAAAAAATTACAACTAGGATCCCTAAAGCTATAAACTTCTGAAACTATACTTATGCATAATTGGAGGTTCTGATTCAGAACGATTTTTGGTACAGGCTTTGTGGCTCAACACCATTTCTACTAAGAAAATGTGTTTTCCCTTGCTCTGAAATAAATAAATAAATAAAATTGGACTGATCTTGCAGCCTATAAATGTGTGGCCTATTTCTGTCTTAAGTGATCAGTTAGGAGCACATTGTACACTTGAGCTGAATGTTTGCTCAGGACCACCCACCGGCCTCCTGATTAACAGTTTTGCAGTAACTCAGATACAGATAGCTGGAGTTTGAAAATGTATGTGTAAAAATTTTATTTTACTTAGTAGCTTTCTCCTTTTAATGTGTGCAAGGACAATTCTGACAGGATCCAAAGGCTGCTTGGTCTAAATCTTCGAAGAAGACAGATTGTTAGGCAGGATTTCATGCTAGATTTTGAGAGTGAGGGAAATAAATAAATTATGGTGTTGCTCAGAAAATTGAATGGAAAAATTGCCTAGGGTGGATGATGACATTCCCTTTTGATCCCTGACACATCTTTATCTTATGGACAGGAAAGGATGTTGTGGTCATTCTGTAGGTCCTAAATAATCAGTCCTTCAAGAGAAAGGTGAAGGTTAGTTGCTGAGGATTACCACATTTATAAGCAGAAGGGCAAAAAACAATGCTTGACTTGAAATTTTCATTCTGGGTTATTATATAAAATTCACTAAATGGGTCTACTTTCACAGGATAGAGGATTATGCATTAGTTCACGATAGCCAAAGTACCATATTTCATATCTATCACCTCTTTATGGATGATGAATTTTTGGAATTCTAGAGTATTTTTAAATGTCTGCAGTGCTGCACTTGAGTATAGAAAAATAAGGCTGCTAATTTTTTTAAAGTTCTTCTTTATTAATTATTGAAAGTATAAGTAAAAATTCTTTCTGTAATGAGTGGCAGAAGGTAACATTTTATTTAGATTAACAAAAAGAGAAAGTAATACTATATATGGAAATGTCAGTATATAAAAGACTGTGTATTTATGTTAGGATTTGTGAGTAACTGTTTGCTGTACTGCTTCATTTATATACATGCTTCATTTTCTGAATGTGTGTTTGCTCTACTTTATTTAGAGGGGGGTGTGGGAGGGGAACTAAGCACCCCCATGTCATTAAAAAGCCTGTACATCCAGCATTTAGGATCTGTTCATATCTCTGTTAAGCTGAAGGCCTTTCCAAGCCCAAATTTAGACAATGCATAAAAACATTACTAAACAATTAGGTAATGTTTCACAATGTTCTTTTTATTAGTTGAAGCAGTTCCATGCACTTCAATTTTCCTAACTTCTTGCCCTCAGTACGAATAAGAATTGTCTTGAGGGGATTGGCAAACTGAGAGGGAAACGTTAGTGCTAAGCTGCCTCAAACCCAGGACTGTGAATTATTAAGGTCTAAGTTCATAGACAAAAAATGAAAAAGACTTTTTAGGTCATCTAGCTCATCTCCCAGCTTGCTGTGTTCTTGAAACTCTGAAAGTGGATGGACACAAACCCAAGTAAAATGGGAATAGTTTAGGTAAAGTAATTACACATAATACATGTGCAATGCTTTCCTTCCAGGCTGTGTTTCACTCCTGTTTGCAGTCTATCCTTAACATCAACCCCTGTGCAGTGCTTGTGTGTTTCTGTGCTTGTGGACTATTTGCCATTCACATTGCTTCCTTTAGATCTGGTGTCCTTTTACAAAGCTGCGGCTTGCACAGTGGACAAAGAAGTGAAACTGCAGAAAGAAAATAAGTGGGTTGAGGGATGAAGAGTGAGAGAGGTGAAATGTGCAGAACAAACCTGTGAGGGTTTCAAAAGCTCGGAGGGACTATTCTTTACATGAGAACAACTGCTCACCATTTTCTGAAATGGTCTCTGTACTCTGAGTAGGTTAGTAGGTGGCTCTGATTGCCTGCTTTCATACACGATGTATGAAGGTGTTGGCAAGGTAGGCAAGTGAAGGAAGGTATGGCTATTCCTGCAAACCCTTGTGCTCAGCTTTTATTGAGGTGATGCAGGACTGAACGTTCACAGGCTCAGCATGGAGTAGAGAGGTATAAACAAGCCCTGGAAATGGTCAGGTGCCAGCTAGGACAGTAAAATTCTGAGATAATATTTGTTCAGCTGTCTCCTCGTGACAAAAAAAGAAAAGGAAAGCAGAGAGGGAGATCCAGCAAAGTTGGAGTAGCATAATAATTCCAACCAGTCAAAGCTGTGTGGTAGTACGAAAATGTGTGATAAGTCATGCCCAGATTTGTATCTGTTGAAGAATAAAAGATTGTTTGATCCAAAACAGTAGTAAGGCACTAAAATTAGGATACCTATTGCTTCCTTTTTGTTTCTTATCTTCATTGGCCTTTGCTGGTCATTGGTAACTGTACTGGTAACAGTATCCTCAAACCAGACACTCTGCACCTAAAATTCCCTTTAACTTAAATTGTGTAGCTGTGAGTGTTTGAAGGACGCAGAACTGGGTCATTAGGAAGAAATGAGGGAGGGAGCTAAAGGTAAACTATGCCATTCCATCCCGACTCTCTACAAGCTTTATTCACTTCTTTGTTCAAAAGCTCCATTTCTGAGGTCAGGTAGAGAAGTGTAGCCGACCTCTGTGATACTGGGTAGCAGGCCCATATGACCACTGTCTAAAAGTGATCTGGGCAAGAGAGATCAGTGCAGTCAATCTTTTGATGTTCTAGAGTGAAAGAGAATTAAGATTTGTTCACATTGAGGGAAACCAATGGGGATTTAAAAAAAAAAAAATAGCTGTCTATGTGACGTAGAAGGTAATCAGGCATGGAGATGAAAGTGTTTGTTGTAGAGCATTCAATGGTATCATCTGCATATAGAAAGTGCAATTCAACCACATTGCAGAAATCGTTGAAAAGCGGGTCGTCATGCCTTTCCTGCTGTGTCTGTGTTCAGCTTGTTCTGTAGTCGTTGATGTAATTGTTATAGCGATAAAAGTAATGTGAATGTAAAAATAAATATGTATTGATTTAGCTTTGTGTGAATACATGTTTAAGTTTAAGATGCCAAGCACTTAAAAGTATAAAGTGTAATACCAGTGAATATTTTCTAACTGCCCCTCTAACAGCTAGAAATGCTTGTGATATTCCTTTGACTTGCCCATTTGGACAAGAAGATTTGAAATTTTGCAAAACATTTACAGTAAAACAAAAGCTAACTGACTGTGTGACTCATCTGTATTCCATGGCCATCTTTGATGAGCTGTTATTTGTAATTATTTAATAATAAAACTAAGAGATCAGCAAGTGCATTTATGAGTTTGCTGTGTTGATGTATTTGTGTAAAACATGCTGTTAATTAAATTTTAAGTTTTATTTATGTGCAGAAAGTGTATGTTGTCTTTTAAGTAGTTTGGCCTTGCATAAACATGCATGTTCTCACTTACCTCTCTAATAAGCATTTAATTCAGTCCTGTTTAACATACTCAACATTTTGCAGGAGGCACACAACTTGTCTAGTATGAAGCTCGTTCAGAGAGGCACAGGCTATTCTCGGTGCCCGCTGACTTTAAAGCATTAGCTGGTATCAGCTCTACTTCATGAGTATGCTATGTTTTGCCTTTTTCAGTAATGCTCATTTGAACAAAGGTTTTCCTATATGTAGCTTAAGTAATGCTCTACTCAAAGAAATGAAGGGGACATGTGAAAAATCAGTTGTCATCTTGAGTTCACCTCACCTCAGAAGTCATTTCAACTCAGTTTTGAAGAAAATACAGCTTTATACAAATGGCTGTAAATATGTCTTTGTCTTATTTAGGGATTAACAGTTTCTGACTACCTTGATTTATTGTACTCCAGGCAGAGGCTGGGAGGAAGAGGGGGGGCTTTTCTCCATGTGTGCAGCAGTTCTGTGCCTAAGGTGGCAGAGTTTGGTTTTTTCCCCAGGTGTTCTCAGTTTGCTGTTATTTAATAGAGTAAAAAACATGTTCAATCAGTGTCACTATTCCGTTTTAGGTATCATTAAGTGGTAAATCATGAACCAAGATTTTCTTTGTTTGCAGACATCAAATAGTATTGGTTTTGGAAAGGAAACAGAACGATCCATGACTATGAGTAAATCAGTAGTACCTGATATTCCCTCATCACATGAGAGTTTGATCAAGTGGGCTTATGAGCATAACTATAGTCCAGTTACTTCCTACACAAAAGCCCCTGTTGCAAACAGATTTCATCTGCAACTTGAAGATACGGGTAAGCTTGAAGATGGACTTTTAGCATATAGAAAAAATATATCTTGTATTTCCAGGAATATGATGATTTGAAAGGTGCTTTTTCCGTTTTGAAGCTTTGTTGTTGGGGGCTGCACTACTTTCAGTGCTCATCATCAAGAATGCTGATAATATCTATGAATGCTGGTTAAAAAAAAAAAAAAATCTGTGACTTTCTGATTAGAAAAGTCCAGGCAAATTGTGTTATTTCCTGAAATGTTGGTGGAATTAGATAGTTATAGTTTATCCAACTCACAAACCATTATAGCTGACCATGCTCAGTGTTTACTGGAATGGACTTCAGCAACTGGGTATCCTGTTAGTTAATAAATTCAGCTTGCCTTTTTTTTTTTTTTTTTTTTTTAAAGTATGAGCATAGTGTTTCCTTGAGACAATTAAATAAACTTTTAAATTGTTTATAGACAAAACTGGCGTACCAAAAAAGTCTGAGCAAACAGAATAAATACAACCATTAAAAAAAAAAAACAGTTATTTGGCTGAAGTCATTGCTGATGTAAAGATATCTGGATCCATTGAAGCTAGTGGAATTGCATCTGCTTTTTCAGTAATTCTGAGTTTCAACCACTAAAATATTGTTTAGCTGTTTTGGTAAAGCTTATCACATTAGTTTTATCAATTGCACTCTTGAGGTTACAGATAATGATCTGCTTGTGTATAAGCCAGGAGATAGATAGTGTTCTCATTTATTCAGTATAAAGTTAACTCTCATTTAACGTCACTCTGGTTATGTAACTACTTCCACAACAGTGGAGTGACTGAATTTGTGATGAGGCAGGTAGTGGAAGAATTTCACCCAGTGATTTGCACTTATGCTATTTCAGCAGCACTAAAATAGTGTATTTGCTGAATGTGATGTTTCTTTTACCTCTGTGGTTGCCTTTTGCATATAATAGGCCCATTCCTCAAAGTTTATTTTCAAGTCTTAGTGAGGCAGATTTCTAGCAGGGACTAAATATACCAGTATTAGATGCCTCAGTAACAACTAAACCCTTAGTGGAGGAATTGTGGCTAGTTACCTGAAAAGTATTGTCCTTCAAGTGCTTCCATTCTGGATAATATTTTTTTGTATGAAAATGATTAGTTCTGGATAATTTTAGGAAAAATATCTAATAACCTAATGTTCTTTTTTTTTTTCTTTTTAGAAGAGATGAATGATGAAGAAGACCATTCCCTTCCTCCAGAGCTGACAGAATTGCTGGGTGCTAACCCACTGCCTGCTCCAAAGAATCCTGCATTAAGTGATGGCCTGACTTTTCCTTTTCACATTAACAGAGGAAGACATGACACAGTGGGAGAAGGCATTTTCCCACCCAGGGATTCAGTGGATACATTAATAAATCATGACTTTGAACATTCCCTCTCAAAACATAAAGAACCTGAAGAGGTTCAGGGCAGTGCTGATGTGGCCCTGTCAATAAAGTGTGATGACAAAGTCATGACGGTAGCTGTAGAAAAAGACTCTCTGCAGGTTGGTGTGATCTCTTATTCTCAAAGCTGGGCAGGCTTTTTGGGGCAGACCATTTTATTTGTATTTTGATTGAAAAAATAAACATTCTAAGATCTACAGCCATCACCACCCAACCCCCCCAAAAATAGTTTGGTGGGGAAACTATGCTGTAACTATACGTTCTTTGCCGTAACTCAGGATCATGTTTCCTCTTCCCAACAATCCAGTAGTTTGTAGAGGGATTTCTGATTAAAGCTTTGTAGGGTCGGTTCTGTCAAAAAATTACTGTACTCAACCATCAGTCTGAGTTTTTAATCTCCAAAGTACAAAGAAGCTGCTTTTGATAGCTGTGTGAGACCTGAATAGATCTGTCTTTACCATCTACCAGCTGACAGGTTGCTTGTGTCCATTTGCATTGTGGAAAAGAGTCTGATACAGACAGCATTTTTAGCTCATTTCAGACCAGAGTCAGCATTGTTAATCAGGAGATTAATAATGAACCTGTTGTTTTCTTTGTTCTATGTTACATTTATTCCCTGTCTGTCATGTATAACAGCATTTTGAGAGTGACCTTCCCTGGATGTCAGTACAATGAATTTCACTTCCTCCTATCAGCAGCCATGAACAGTATTCTGAGCTGCACTTTAAGCAAGAGCCTAACACAATTGTGTTTCAGCCACTTACAAAGCGCCTTTGTTTCAGGCTAGCGGCTACACAAGGACAGAACTCTCACTGCTGGATCACTCTTGCAAAGCCAAGATGAATGGTACCCATTTCATTTTGGAGTCTTTGCTGAACAAATGCGGGACTCGGACAGCATATATCTTGAACAAGATTGTTTATTTTAACTCTGTGAGTATTTTACAAAGAGGAGCCGCCTTCTGCACTGCACATCATAGTGGCACAAGGAAGCCATTGTAGTTAGCTTTAGTCTGAGCAAAAAGGAGGCATCCTGATCTTTTCCTGTCTGGCTCAAACCTAGTTGCAGCTACAGTCCCTGTATTCAAGGAGGTATGAAGGCTGCACATTCAGTGTGCTCCTGTGGTCAGATAATATCCCAAAGGAAAAAGGAGGAGTTGGAGTTAAATACTTTTACAAAACTGCATGGCTGCACTTTGGGGACCATCTGTACCAATCTCAGAGAAGTTGCACCAGCTTTCTCTGTGCAGCTTTGATGTACCCATACCTAAGCAGTACTACATGGCTGTAAGGAGGAATAGGAATCAAGTTCTGTGATTGCATGAAGCAACACCGTTTAATTCATTTGCTGAATTATTTTAAGTGAAATTTTTTCTTCCAAAATTGTGTGTGAAAAAGGCTTTCAAAATGTGAGGAAAAGATATTGTCTGTGCATGCTTCTCTCTTATAATGGATTCATATTTGTTATCAGTTGATGTACATGATGAAGGGACTCTTGAGTACTTGCATATGAGTGACGATGATAAGGAACCCAGTTAGATTCTAAGCGACCGCTTCTAGACTGGCTGAGCTTATGAGCTTGAGTACAGCACAGCTAATCTGGGTTGGAAAGTAATGACACGTTTCTGTTGCTGAGCTTTCTAGTACATACAAGTAACATTGGCAAATGATGGAAAGCCTGTGGTCCAACCCAAACACAGCTAAGGCAATCTGATCTGACCTTGCCTAGTTAAAACCGTTCTATACTGGCAAGTCTGTAGCACCTAACTTTAGAAACAATCCCAAACCAAGACTGTGGATAGAAACATCTCCAAACTACAGAATAGCACGTGTTTGGAGCTAAATACTGTCATTGTCCCTATATTCTATTATGGCCCAAATGAAAATGGGTATTTGCCTCCTTTCCTTTCTCCATCATGTCTTTTAATAGTCTTGACTACTCACTTAAACTCCAAATCATGTATGGTATCTTTCAGAATTTGGGAGCATTTCTCCTAAAAAATAAACACCATGCAGTGGAGTCTCAAAGAGGGTATGTGTCACTTAGCAGTTGCTCTATGTCCAAGAAAGCAAAGATGAAGTCCTGGAAGGGAGGTGACTAGCTGAGGAGCCACGGGGCATACAGAAGCAGAGTGCAGAACATTGGGAAACAAAACCAGGAATTTTCAGGTGAAGAAATGGAGAAGTGTGCAAAGGAGGGGAAAAAAAGCGAGGGGGGAATTCAGTAGGAATTCAGAGAAAAACAAGGGAAGAATGAAGAAAGGGACATCATGGTTTTGGGTGTACATCTCTGAAAAAATACACAAATGACAGAAGAGAAAATCCTTTAATGACCCTAACACCTCCAGTGATTTTCCATGAGTGCATTGAGGAAAACTGTAAGTTGCAAAAAATCACTTTAGAAAGCCATTTCTTGTTTCAATGTTGCTTATAGAAATACCAGAAATAGAATGGAAATGCTAGGCTGCTCATTCAGACACCAGCACCCAGACTGGTGTCTTTGCTGGCTCTGAATTCTGGAAAAAAACTAAGGGGCGTTCTCTAAATATAGCCTACATATCTTACATGCTCAGCTCAAGGCTGTTTAAGATGTGCTTTCACCATCTGCTTAGCTGGTACACTTTTTTTGGCCTTTGCATTGGTCTGAAGAGAGAAGAAAATGATAAGCATGAAGAGAGAATGCTCAGTTATCACCTAATTTTATGCGTTTGCAATACCTTTTGTGCAGATTGTCATTCAGCTGTCATCACCAGCTGAAAGCAGTGGCTTTGATGATGATGACATGGAATCGGGTGATAATGGATTTCCAGGGGATGCTGATGAGGGAGATGTTGCTTTCTCAAGCTCGCCTGAAATAGCGGTATGTTACTCTCAGGTTTGCACCTGACAATACAGAAATGCCTATCGTAATAGGCACTTCACATAAATTATATTAATTGTATAGCAATTGATTTGTCTTTTAACACATTTCTTCTCACTTCTAGTTCTTGTGACCCTGTTGAAGATTTGCACTAAGTAGATGGAACATGGGTGGGCTCCTATTGTAGACTCCAAATTTGTCCTTATCCAGCTACCACTCCTGACTCAGGATGTTATTGTGTTGTTTTTTTTCATTTCAGTTTAATTGCACGCTGCACCAGCCAGAGGATGACAAAGGCATGTTCTGGCCTCCTGAACCACGCATCGCCAATGTGACCTTCAACATGGAGCTGTACAAAACAGATCTGTTCCTTGCTCCCTCCCAAGGACTCTTCTCTGTTGCTGAGAATGGGCCAGTATATGTAGAGGTAACAAACTGAAAAAGGCTTTCAAATTAAAAGGAAACATTTTGCAAGGCTGTGCAACTGAGCCAGATCTGGTTTTGTCCATTGAGAGGTCTCATTGTGCAGTTGCTTTAGGCAGACAGGTAGGTACTTCAGTAACTGTGGGGTAAGAAGCAGGACAATGTTTTGAGTCAAAACCAAAGGGTTCCTACAAAATAGATGAATCTAACTGCAAGGTAAATTGGTCATTCTTGCCAAATCTGCTTTTCTGTGCAGAACTTAAAGTGGTCTCTCAGCTCTTGCTCTGAACTGGCATTTCCTGATGAAGACTTCAGGGTTGATTTATTGGGTAATATGGCTGAACCTCATCTGAAAGATGTAGACATGCAAAAAATGATTACAAGTGTCTGTCTTCCATATGCTGGTGTTCTCGGGTTACAAAGTTAGTGTAGATTCTGATTTCTCTCCAATCCGCTTACAAACACCAGTTACAATCCTTTTGAATGCTATCACATGAGAGATCTAACAGCTTCAGATAAATAAGACCAGCAAAGTCAACAGCCACATACACTTGACTTCAGGTGCATTTTGGACCTGGTAATATTTCCATGTGTTGCGAAGTTGCTTATGAAATCTGGAGAATTTCAAACCAATACAGTTAGTATTTCTAAAGATAGTCACGTGAATAGAATTTTGCATTTTTCAGGTAACAGTAGGCTTTAATAAATACAACATTGGCAATGAAGTGGTATCGCCAGTTTATAGATGAGTAAATCAGGAGTGGTGAGCTATGGGCTTATAAGACTGGGAAAATGAGTTTATTGACTGAAGCAGTGCTGTGCCATGTTTGCCTTGCCCAAGTTAGTTCCTCTTTGTGAGCCCACATTACACATGATAAGCATAGTGGCCCATTTGACATTGGTGCAGTTTTCTTCATTATTTCAGTGTGTTGTGTCTCCCTCATTCTCTACCTGGTGAAAAGTACTTAAGACAGTTGAAGCAAAAAAAAGAAATGTGTCACGCTGAGTTAAGAATTTGTTTATAAGACACATTATTTTTTTCATTTGGATAAAACCAGCTGCTTCTTTCAGCGATCTGGGATGAATCCCCCTGGCTCTGAGCCCTCTGGATTTATCTGGTTCTGGAGCTGTTTATTCAGACAGATGTTCTGATTTCTTCATCACCTGTCCTGGCAGAAGCCTTTGTTTGCTGTTTCTCTTTCTTGCACCGTGGAAAATCTGTATCAGTTTTGAACTTCTGTGACTCCATTTTTAGCTGACAGATTTTTTTTTTTCATTTTTTGTTTCTGTTTTGCTTTTGTTATTAACAAATATATTTGAGGGTTTTTGGTCAATAAATTGCTTAGGTCATAATCTGTAAGAACTCTTTATCTCCCTTTTCCTTCTCTGCTAAAAATGTTTTTTTGCATTGGAATCTTTTGGCTCTTTTTTATTTTGTTCTCTGCTGTCATTTTCTCATATTTTGGGCTCACCTTTCTCCAGTAGTTCTCTTCTTTCCTTGAGATACCATTCATCCTTTTATTTACCTGATGGTGTTTCATGATGCTGTAGTATGCCTGTCCTCCGTGCTGTAATTGCTTTTTTAACTAGTTTACACCATTAACTTGTTTACCTGTTGGTGTCTTGACTTTCATTCATCAGTCTTTATTTCTGTTCTTTTTAGAAGATGGTCTTTCTTGCTTAGATGCTTCAGCATATCCCTTCATCTCTAATTTGATTGCTGCTCACATAAGGGAGAGGAAGAAATGAGAAATGCCTTTATTCACTGCGCAACTCGTAGCATCCAAAAATTTCTGTATAGACCACAGGAAAATTTGGCAGGCTCTTCCTTAAATATACATGCAGCACATATGGATTAAGTACACATTTAAGGCACATTTCTTCTAAGAAGGAAATTATTTCTTGTGGAACTGTTTTCGTCAGGCAGTTTTAATGGTTAGGCACAACGCTTATGTTGTTTATTAAGAGCAACACGCTTAGTTTGTTACAAATTCCATTTAAATTTTTTTCCTAATTATTCTGTAGCATTTGTTGTCTGTATTCCAGTCCAACTGAATAACATCAGTGCCCTGGAAGCTTGCAGTCTTAATTATTTCTCATAAAAGAATATGAATTTCAGACTTACAATAAACTAAAAGGATCATTTCACAAGAAATTACAGCTTTTTAGGAGGCTTCTCTGCTCCTCCAGTCTAGGAATGCCACCCACACATCAGACCATGACCTCCTCTCTGCCTCTGCATTCCTATCCTGGCTGGGGGTGGGTACTCTGTTGTGTCTCTTGCTTTTATTTTTTCTTTTCTTTTTCATTAAAGTTTCAAACAGATACAAAGACATGGAATTAGTAATTGACTTTCGTACAGCTCTGTTATAGCCTGTGTATCTAAGGGAAGGAGCACCATCTCAGGTGGCAGTCACAGTCATTAACTACGTGTCTGATCTGGACTGGGTTTTTCATCTGCTTTTGGAAAGATAAGGGATTGCTGTATTTATGCACAGTTATACTATTAAACAGCTGCTGGTTTTGAAAGCACAGATTTTCTGTCTCTCAGTTTGACAGTCTACCCTTAACGTTTAGCCTTCAGAATAGTTCAGATTGGAAGTGGCACTGGAAAACTGCTTAAAAAATCTTTGAAAATGTTAATGAAATGTGAACTAAAAATGTCATTTCTGAGATCTTACTATCTCTTTCTTTTTAATGCAGGTGTCTGTGACTAAAGCTGACAGATCCTTGGGCTTTGCCATTCAAACATGCTTTGTTTCCCCATTTTCAAATCCAGATAGAATGTCTGACTACACCATTATAGAAAACATTTGTCCTAAAGATGAATCTGTTAAATTCTACAGCATTGAGAAGGTGAACTTTCCGATACCACATGCACAGAAGGACAAAAAAAGATTTAGCTTTGTTTTTAAACCAATGTTCAACATCTCACTGCTCTTTCTTCACTGCGAGTTGACTTTGTGTACAAATAAAGACAAAGATGCTCAAGGACTGCCAAAGGTAAGTAATTTATTAAAGTATAAACTTCTAATTTAGGTAAAAATATGATATTTTTTTCATCTGAACTTTGAAGTGAATAAACAGTTTTCTGTGGAATTGATGTAGTGACGTGATATCTCTAGGCTCAAAACTTTTAATAGGTAAGAGTTATGATGCTATGCACTTTGACCGCATAATTTACAGTTTCTGTTTAAATTTCATTAGATGGTTATATGGGATAAATAGAAATTGCTTTTTATTACACAAGTGGTTCAGATTTATCTTTGCTACCCACATCACATCCATATCCAAAGTGCAAACTATGTTAGCTTTAGTTTCCAAAGACATGCATCGTATCAGATAATATTGAAATCTGATTGTTACAAAAGAGAATTGCCAAATTTTGTTACAAAAGAGAATTGCCAAATTTTGCTTTATATCTAATGGAAATGGCTGTAAATTAGTTGTTCAAGAATGTGTTCTAAGAATTTGGAATTTATTTTCACTTTGGGGTTTATGCACATCCCCCTTAAAATTATTCTTTTTTTTAAGATGATTTGTCATTGTTGATCAACACATGTGTTGGTGGCTACAGTTTTGGCTACTGGATTTTTTAAAAAACATTTATCCTAAAATAAAATAATTACTACCATTTAGTTTCAATTGTGACACTCTCGTAAAGATTAGAGGATCCTTAATGAAGGCAAAGGTTGCGTCCTGAAGCACAGCTAAATATGACCTTTGCCAGTACATTACAGATGGGTTGTTTGGAGCTTCTCCTCCTTTTTTGGTAAATAATATAGGATAAAACTGATGATGAGGCAACTGTGCAGCTGGCACAGCTGTCCTGGCAGACGGGTCACTCTCTGACCTCGCACACTCGTTTTTCCACTCGCAGTGCATTCCTCCTGATGAAGCTTGCACCTCTCTCAATGTGAATATGATCTTGGCCATGATGCACAACAAGAAAACCTTCACCAAGCCACTTGTTGTAATAACACATGAAGGAAAACCAGAAGGTATGAAAACGAACTTGAACTGTTTAATAAAACTATATATATTATATTGTGTAATGTACAACCGCTTGAAATGAGGGAGTACTCCAAGTATGTGGCATTGTATAATCTTGTGGTGATACTGTGTTTGTAAGATGTTATTTGTTTAGACATTTTCCTGGCAGCAATCATCATGGCAGTTCATTACCCTTTTTTAACTGTCTTTATTGATCTCTGGACATGTAGTTTTGCCAGGCATTGAGAAAGGAATACCATACTAGACAATAATACGGGTTTCAGAAATATGAATATAGCAGTAGCACTTCCAGCAGCTTCTTGTTGCCCAGAGATCAAAGGCAGTGCTCTGCTCCCTGCTGTATCATTTCTTTATTGTGCTTGTAAATATGTATATTTAGGAATAACAACAATGGAATTGGTAAGTATTGAGGACACTAAAGCCTGATAAGTTTGTTAAGCAAAAGGGTGGCCACTGGAGAGAGAGTCATTAGACTGTTAAACTATTAAGAGCAACAGATGAGATGCACAAAGGTATTTTAGCTCCACTTTGGTGGGACTTGTTTGATTATGTAATCTTTATGGAATAAAACATGTGCGTGGCTAGTAACTCTTTTTTCGTAGTGAATTCTTCTGACAACAGCATCAGTCATGTTTTGATGCATTCATAGAAGAAAACGTGCATTATCTTTTCTTTTTGTATTAGCATGGGAGTTTAATCAGAAGCTTCAGTGGCTTCACGTGCTCATCAAAATCTTCCAATTGTGTCCAAAGGCTGTTTGACCTTTGGAATGCTTTTTCGGGAGTATCAAAAGGTTGGGGATCAGAAGTCCTCTAACCTCTCATACAGTGTGTGCTTTTTAGTCTTTGAACAATTTAAAGCACCGTACAGTATTGCTAGGGGACATAAGCAACAACTGTTTCTGTTTAACTCTGCAAGTCAGCTCATGTTTAGTTTGGGGGTTTTTTTACAAATTTCTTAATAAAGATCAAATCCACTATGAATTAAAGGCAAGTATTTGATCTGTTGGTGTGGTACAATTAAAACTGTGCTTTGGGCCTGATTCTGCACTCTTTGCAAAGCTCTCATTTTTTTTTCAGTCGTTACTCTATTGGGAATGAGTAAATCCTGCAACTGAAGTTCAGCTTTCAATAAACAGACTTGTACTCTGAGCTCTCTTGCCCTTCCGATGTGTGGAGCATTGTGCGCAGCTCCTGTCGCAGGCTGGACTCAGAATGTTGTCTTTGTCAGAGGCACAAGGTCTTAGTGTGCAAAGATGAGCTAAATTTATAAAGATTAGTTACAAGACAACACTGTGATAGAGTATTTTGTTGCATTGTGGGTGATTTAGTCTAATTGTGGGATGTTTGGTGGAAATCTCCCCAGCATATCGCAGCTTTCAGACATAATACAAAGTGGCACATTAACAACGTAGCTTTGTTGGTATGCAGTTGTTCTGCAGTGAATCAAGCAGCTCCTTTCTAAAAGCCAAATGCCATTGTTGGCCAATACGTGAACCTAAGATTTGGAGAAGAAATTATGTCGCATTACTGAACAGGAGAATTTACATCTTGGAGGTCGTGTTCTTAATTTTCTTTCACGTGAACAGGCCAGCTTTCATCGTTGTAAACCATATTATGTGAGTTACTGTCATTGGATCTGCTCTCCAAGCCAAATGTAGAAATCATGTGCTTGACATTTCAAAAGTCAGAACAAGTTGGTCATTGCAAAGGTGTTGTCTTTTTTTATTCAGACATAAGCTTATGGCTGTCATTGACTGTAATAGAAATCACAACGGTATATCTAAAAGAGAATAACTCTTCCTCCCCTCCTAATTTTGTTATTTACAAGCTCAGTTGCCTGCATTATTGCAGTAGATCCCAATGGAAGTGTCTAAAACCTAACTCCATGCCACATTTCTTTCCCTTTGCATTCCTGCATTTCACATACACGCTCTCCCCCACTTCAGTGAAAGGTGTATGGGTGGCCATTTAAATGCTAGGAAATACGTGTTCTTCTGTTGAAACGATCTACCAATGTCATTGTTCTGATTTTTGCTAGGTGTGGAAACTTTAGATTATTATTTCTACAGCAAAAGGACACAGGTCATAGAAAGGAGGTCAAGTGAGCAGCTAATAAATGTCTCTATCCTACAAAGGTATAGAAAATCATGATAATTTCTAAAGGTTAGCTGCTGATGTTTTTAAATTAGATGCTTTTCCTGGACCTCAAGAATTCCCACTGCTTCTGTGTTGCTCTGAGCAAACCACGTTAAAATACATGTAAGAACTGGGTGGCTGGGGAGAATTGATAATGGGCTACACAGCCTATCATTAATTACCAGGCTTTATATTCTCTGTAGAGAGGCCAATGACAGAATAAGCATGGAAAATTCATTCTCCCGTCAGCTCAGAAGGCATTTTCTTGGCACTTGGAATATGCTAGTGGAGTGTTTGAACAATCTGATAGTGCCCTTACCCATGTTTGTACTGTTCAATGCTCCTTGGTTTCAGTCCAGCCCTCCTCACAAATCTTACATTCAGTTACGCTTTTGCTGTTATGTGCGCTTGACGACTTTCCAGCTTATTTGTGCATGCACACACCCACCCCTCTATGTCCTCACCTGCTTCCTACTACTGTTCCACCTGTTTCCTACCATCCTGCCAAGAGTGATCTGGAAGAGATACTCGTGTGTTGGAACAAGTGACAATAATGCAGTTTAAGAAAAAAATACTTTTTTGGATATTGTTGGCACATGTGTCTCAGAGTCTAATGATCTTATAGGCTATTGCTGGCAGTTTAGTGCTGCCATTTGGGTTCTAGAAGTTAGAAGCATAGTCTTGGTTTAAGAATACTTTAAATAAATAAATGTATTTATTTTCAGTATTTTTGAGCCGCTATGTTTACATAGCAGTTAAACTTTTTTTTTTTCAGTTGCTAAAGATACAAAAACAAGTATTGGGACACTGTCTTATCAAATCCTTGTACAGCTGTTGCACTGAACACACTCAGATATGCCAGAATTTAAATGAGATCCCTAGGTTACTGGCCAATCCAGAAGCAAACTGCAGCTAACCAAACAGGTCATCAGGTCTGAAGCCAGAATCTCTGGCTCTTCTGCTTGAGGTGGCATTCTTGGAGAAAGATAAGAGAAGCCAGTTCATAAGGGAAAATTCTTCATTTTTTTCGCATATGTTTACTTGTCTCTTTCTGTTACATGCTGATAATGATGATGATATTTGATATTCTTGCCAAGAATAATAGCTTTGATATAATAGCTATGATCTTTTATTTCCTATATATAATTAAAAAACAAAACAAAACAAAAAACCCACCGAACTTCCAAGACAGAATACCAAGCAAGACTCAGGAAAATGTGTGAATCAACACATACTCATGCAATTTGGACAAAGCAGTGTGTATCATGCCATAATACTGACTTTTCCTTAGAGGTGATAGCAGCGTTTGATTTTATTTTTTTTTTCTTGTGATTTAGCATGCTGTTATCTCATGTTTGTGATTAGTGACTAATCAGATGAATGTAATCACCTTAAAACAGCCTTTGCAATCCGTGCTCTTCAAGACCTCCACATAGGGACAACCAGAGTTACTGTGGGTCAGACCTGATGACATCTGGGTGAGAAAGGTTGCAGTGTACTTGCCAGCAAAATATATGATGCATGAACTATACTGTAGATAAGATCCCCTGAGAAATGATCAATATATGAATAGAGTTTTTCTAAGCTGAGCAAGATTATTGAATTCAGGCTTGTTTTCCTGAAGTTCCTTGTTTGTAAAAATTATAATTAATGTCTTTCTGTCAGATCAGATCCTGAAGGTTGCTTACGTAGTTTGTAGGCTGTATGTGGAACTGTGATTAATGTTTTGTGGGTTTTGTGTTTTTTTTTTTAATTAGATCCTTCCCTTCCAAAGCCAAATGTGAGACAGCAACGTAAGTGACTCTTAAACCAATCTCTTTTAAGCCTTAAACTTTTGCCTAGAAAGTGTTAGATCAATGAAGAAAATTATCTTCAAGCTTTCTGAGAGTGTGTGTGTCTTAAATTCTGGGACAGAACAGAATTCTGACTGTATTGCTGATTGAGAGATTCCCATTGGGATTTAGAGAGAAGGGCTGACCTCTTGTGTATGTGAAAATCAAATTTGGGAAGATATCAAGATTCTCAGCCTTAGCAGGTTCATTTGCTGATGTGTCTGTTTTATTTCCCCCTTCTCTGCTGAGGCCACTGCTTCCCAATACTAGGGTTTTAGCAGCAAGGCCATCTTATGGAGCTCCTGTGTCCTACTCCAAGCCTCACTCCTACCCTGCACTGCAGCTGGCCAGTGACTTTGGCACCAGCAGTTACAGGTCATGCTGTAGATGAGATTACCGACTTGATACAGATTAATTTCTTTGGGGTTTTTTTTTGTCTTGGCATAGTGAATTAACCAGGGTCAATTACTGATCCACGAAGGGAAGAAAAGGAAAGAAGCAGGACTAGAAGACAATAGTTAACAGGAAGGTGAAGATGATTTGTAGCCAAAACCAAGAATGAATGGAGAAAAGGGAAGATGAGAAGAGGAAGTGCAAAGAAGGTTTTTTCCTCTACACCTGTCCCTGTGTCTTTGGGACTAAATTTGCTCAAAATAGCAAGGGGAATGAGAAATTATGCTTCTGCCACTTCAGTCTCCATGTGACTTTTTCCTCTCCACTAAGTTTCCTCCTAAGAGGGAAGGACACTGGCTAGTGCCTTGTGGAAAAAATAGTTGAGTTTAGGAGAGTCTTTTCAGTTTTTATTTAAAATGACTAGATGTGTCCAAAGGAATCAGAAATAGTCTCATAGAAGAAATGGGAGAAAAACCTTCTAAGCCACTGTCTGTCAGGTGTTGCATGTGCAGACTTGCTCACAGGCACCCAGAAATGGGTCCTGAAGGCCCTTGCCAACAGGAACTGCTGGAGAAGACATTTGTCAAAAGGGGAAAAGGGGAATGGCCCTTAGGATCTCAGGAGCTGTTGGGCTGGGGGATGTTCATAGGGACATCTGCTGGATGCAGGAATGTGTAAAGTGAGGGTGTTGGTTGTGTTTTGAGAGCTGAAATTCCACTGAAGGATACTACAGAGAAGATCCAGTCAGCTCATTTCCTGGCCAGCTTAGTAAAATGTTATTCATTGGGCTAAGCCATTTTGTGCACTGGGAGACATTAAAAATACTGAAACTAGAATTCAATTTTGTTAGAAGAAAGTTCCCCAAATGATTGCTAAAAGAGTGATTTGGTTGGTTGTTTGGGGTTTTTTTTAAGTATTTCTAATCACCAAAAAGAAAAACACAAAAGCTGAAAGTTTCTCTGTTTGGATGGTTAATGTTGGGGGGAAATACATCCAGGAACCAGATGCTGTTACCCTTGAAATGGTACTGCAAAAGGGCCTCTCCCCTAGAAAGTGATTTGTGTGTGTGTGTGGTTCTATTTTTGTGTTCTGGAATTAATTTCAGTTATTGAAAGCATTGCCAAATGTGAAAAACAATTGTTTCTATTTATGTTTTCGCTGACTTTTTGCTGGCATCTCTTCCCTCTTAACAGCAGTTCCGTTCTCCACCTAGATTTCAGACTGAACTTGCAGGAGATGTAGGGGAAAGTTTGCTTGAATGTTAACGCATTTAAATGAAAAGCATCTTTTGCCAAAAATCTCAGCCTTTTTATAAGACATTTTTAAGATAAATGGATATTTAATTGAAAGCAAGTTATTAACAGCCAACTGAAAATGCTTAATTTTTGCAACGTTTTCCAGATTTGGGTGTGCTGAGCTGGGCTTTTGCTTTGTGATGTGGAACAGTTGCTTGGACTGAAGCCAGTCTCTGAAAGCATCACTTTTATTTCCTTGATGCAAATCTGCTAGTGTGTTCCTTAAAATGGTGCTTAATTAACTCTGAATTTTTAAAAAACTTTTCCATGAAAGTGCAAGGGTGAATTTTCGTAAAGCAGTATTTGCAACTGAAGGTAAAAAGTCCTTATTGTGTGTGTTTACCTTTGTAGCTGTGTTCTATGGTCTGGACACGCTGACTGTCGTGGGCATTGCCTTTGCGGCATTTGTAATTGGAGCCCTGCTAACAGGAGCACTCTGGTTTATCTACTCTCACACAGGTAAGTATGAGCGCTCTTACAGACCTTGGTGCAAATCATGCCACAGGAAACGCAGTGTGGTCTGAACTCTTGCAAGGTGGGAGGAAAGGGGAGGGGGGCCAGCTGTCCTGGACTTCTTTTTCCTCACTCTCTGTTCTTGCTAGGGTGTTTTCCAGCAACTTCTCCCATGAGCCTGTTGGTGTGTATCAGCAGATTGATACCTGCCTTTCCCTAAAGGGAGGTGTTATGTGTGATGAACATGATTTAAAATTTGCTAAAATAATTTTAAATGCGAATCTTGAAAACTCAGCTGGGACATGAGTGAAACTGAGTATTCCTGGCTTGTGCATTATCAGTAGTAGCATCTCTGTATTTCAAATTTAGTTAACATTTCAGTTAATGGATCCCTTTTGGTGCCCATACTCCTTTTTAAAAAATTTTCTGCAGTTTCTAAATTAGGCTGATGTGACTGTGAATGTGATGTGATCGGTACAAGGAGTGGGCCAAATGCCTAAAAGAATGCTTTATTTACATGGACATATTCTGAATATAATGTTTCTTGGGCCTTGATTACATAGAATTTTTTGATTACATAGAATTTTTGCCCCAATTATTTATTCCCCCATTCTTTAACTGTGACACTAAATTGGTAGTAGTCATATGTAATCTCACTTAATTGTGTCCAACCAAATAACCAGGAGTGTGCCTGAATTGGTGCAGCCTTTAGGCATAGATAATTTTTCAGTATCTCCTCAGAATTTTTTTCCATACTAAACTAAGTTAGCAGAAATCCAAGACTGTATTGGAAGAAGAGTGAGTTTTGGGAGCTTGCTGTTGCATGTAATCTGCAAGGTGGTACAGACAAAGACTGGACACTGATGGGGCCTCAATTTGCAGCATCTGACCTTGGCTGCTTGTGGATTATGGGATATCTCAAGATCTCTACAGCATGATGGACTCCAGCTATTTCCACTTTTGACCTCGCAAGACCCTACAAAGATCTCTGGGAGGTGGGGAGAATGTGAGGTCAATTACTCCAAACCTGTGCAGCTCTGGAGTACTGGAATGCTCCCATAGCCCACCGCAGGGGTTTTTTGGCACCTAAAATTTCATGGAAGCTATTTAGCAGTGAGAATCCAGCCCTGTCGGGTCAGAGCGTCTGTAAATATTAAGACCCGGGAGCTTTTGTTAATTTGGGGGGGAAGTGGTTTTTTTCCAGTTGGCAGTACAACAACTTTGTATAAGCAGTTTAATACTTCTCAATGCATCAGCTGTGCATGAAGCTTGTTTGGAATTGAGGCAAATGTGGAACATTTAAAGGTTGTGATAACAGGTATAAATAGTATAATTCTGCCTCATATACTACTGAAACATTGTGGAAGAAAAGTAAGTGCAATTTCAATGAGTAAATGTGTAAGTTAAGAAGGTAATTTCCAAATCTGTAGCCTTTATTAACAAGAAATTAAAACGGTTGTTAAGTTAATATCGTTAGTCCTGCATTTGTGGAAGTTCAATCTCTCTTTGTATGCTGAACCATCTATAGACACATGTTGTGTGTCAGTAGTCAAGGAACACTGGGAAGCCAACATGATAAATCCTTCAGCCACAACAGGACTTGGACCAATCCCATTAAAAGAATTACATTAACAAAGTACATCAGTCATAGTGACCACGTATAAGTAGTGGAGAGGGCAGCAGAGTGCAGTGAATGCTCTGGCAGGGGCAGTCTCTTAGAGGACAACTGCTGTGGCAGACAAGATAATCCAGCTGCAGTGGAAATATTTTAAAGCTGTCTGCAGACTTTTATTAAAATAAGGAGGAAAAAAAAAGATAATCTACACAGTGGCTGTCTTTTGCCATTAGAGAATTCATGCATTGCTGAATCGTGTTCTGAAGTACCACATTTTGTTGCAAGTAGCACTGGGTTTCTAACACATGATTTAGACCAAAGGCTGGAATATACGAGTTTGTTCTACAACTGTTTTTTGGTGATACTCAGAGCATGGACAAAAGCTACTGCTAGTGGAGAATGGCAACTTGGCATGTATGAAGTAAGGTGTTTTTGTTGCTGTTGTGCTATATGCAATACAGAAAAAGGCCACCTTTTTGCCAGTAATAAGAAGGTTTGCCGCTACGCTTTTATCAGTATGTTTCTACTGGCAGACTTGTTCTAGCATGGAGAAGGCTTTACATGAATGAGCTCTCTTGTTCATCTTGATAGGCCGTTAACATTAAAACCTCAAACAATTGATAGTAGAAAAGAACTACAAAATAAGTAGAATTTCATCTCCAAGTATTGAACAAGGATTGTTGAATTTTTTTCATGTAGGGCTTTTGCTGATTCCAGTCATGAAAAGCATGCCAAAGCATCAAAATTGTACTTTAGAATACTCTAAATTCTCTGAAATTTCAACATGGAGTACAGATGTCCTAAGATATACAAGTAGTAGGGGAAGAGAGAGGAGAAGCTAGGATTACAGCAGAGGAGGAATTTTAGCTGACTTTTCTGCAAAAGGACTCCATATTTTTGATCCTTTCTGAAGTCAGTTAAAGGATGTGAAAGGTGGCTGAAGGCTTTCCACAGCAGTGTTGGTCCTGCCTGGAGAGGACCCAAGAACAACAGGAAAGTAGCAGACATTTGCCACAATTAACCCAGTTTACCTGGGTGTCTTATGAAGAAGCAAAAATTTTGCAGTGTGCGTGTGTACAGAAACCCTTTAAAATTTAACTATAGAAGTATCTATCAATGTAATATGTCTTAATAGGGATAATTGACTATGTTTAGGAAGGGACATGCACAAGTCTGATTAGTTAATGGGACTGGTTTAGCAGAGAACATCAGTTGCTTCATTCTCTTAGAAAGCGTGCTTTCCTTCTCCGGGCAGTGTTGCAAGTTAAGAGGATGAAATGTTCCAAAATCTGAGCAGTTAAAAGCGTCCCTCCTCCCCCGGTTCTCCCTTTTTTATGGGATCTGATTTAAAATAAACTGACATAGCAACCAATTATATTTGGCAAATGGAGATAGAAAAGCAAACATTCAGACTTCCTGGACAGGGAGTACAACTGGCAGCTTTCCTAAGTGTGAATAATAAAGTGCATGTTGTCGCATTCAGATGGGTAGAAGCTTGTTTACTGTCAATAGATGAGACATGTCCATTTTGAGCAGTTCTGGTTCAGTAACATGAGGTACATGAAGCTGTTTACACAAAAAAGACAGATGGGGAACACCTCTTCAGTTATAGTTTACATTTCTTTACATCCTTTTCATGAATATTCTTTAAAAAAAACTCCACTACAGATTAGCTAGGAGTTGAGGAAATAAAATGCAGGAAAACCCAGCCAGTCCAGATGTAGTTGCTACGCTGTGTTCATAACATCGCTGGGATTCGGATCTTTTTTCCCTGAGGACATTGAGAATTTGTTATTGTTACACCAGGACCACTTGTTGATCAGAGCTGCTGATTGTGCTCTAGAAATGAGGTGCTGCAGAGGCAGTTGTGTTACCGCGGAGGGAAGGGGGCTCCCATCCCAAAGCGAAGGGAAGGTGCCTCCTAAGACGCTTTCCAGAGGAGCCGGGAGGAGTAGAGCAAGCTGTCGGGCTCGCCCGGGGACTCCGGCACTGCGGTTGTCGCTCTGCCATAAAATAAAAACAACATGTGTTTAGCTTATAAATGAATTTCTGGGTAAATGCATACAGATTGCATTGACGTGCTGAGGCTGACGCAAAGCCGTGTGTGATCATGCGGTTTGTAAGATGGGTGACGGCGGAGCTGCGAGGAGAGCCGGCGGGAGGGCGCGGGGGCCGGGGGCCCCGCTGGGGGAGCGCAGCGCCCGCCCTTCCCTGCGCGGCTGCGGCGGCTTCGCCGTGCGCTGCCGGGGCAGGGCTTCGCCGGCTGGCTGGTTTCTGATAAGCGCTTGTCTTCGCTTGTTTTGTTTTAATGGAAGGGGGGGTTGCTTATCACGGCCTTCGTAAATATATCCTGTGGCAGAAAAGGAAGGAAGACTTGTACACAAACAACTGCGGGAGAAGGGAGCGAGTCGGGAGGGGAAGGCATCCAAACAAGGCTTAGGAAAGCTTTTGCCGCATGATGACACAGACATTGATTTGATACAGTTTATTCTGATGGGCTGCAAAGCCACTTCCAGTGCAAGGTAGAGCTGAAACTTGGTTTATTTGCAGACGGCTGGGGGTAGACTCTGACCTGCTGCATGTGAGCAGAAATCCGCTGCTCGTGGACGAGCTACGTACTTATTTCTTACACTGGGAAAAAGAGACTCAAAATCTGCTCGCAAGAGTAAATGCTGGACGGAGTGCTGAATTCAAGAGCGAGATCCTCACCCTCTTTTTAAATATTTCATTGGCCTCCTGGGTGAAGTGGTTTAGTGGCTTTTTTTAGTTTGTTGCTTTTCTGTCCTGTCCCGTCCCTTCTTTCCTCCCCATTCCTAGACCAGTGGGGTGTAAGGCAAGAGCTGTGTGTCGTGGGGCCTTATGTGCATTTACAGCTGTGGCTGCAGCGCGAGCTAGCAGCGAGCCTGCTGGTTTCCATTACAAAGAGCACTTGCAACCTCTGCTGTGAGAAATCCTCAGATCTCCTTTGTTTGTAGCAGACCTCTGAATGCTGAGCAGCCTATGGCAGGACATTTTTTGGCCCGAGACACAAAGCGTTAAAGGCACGCTTCCTCTGCGGCCGCATTCCCGAGGAGCTCGGGGCTCTGGCAGCTGGGCAGCAGCACACAGGGCATGGGGATGTGCCAGAGCAGCTCCTGTGGGAGGAAGCTGGCTCGTCCCTGCTCTGTAACCCTCTGGATGCAGGCTGTGCCTCCAGCCTTCAGCCTGTCGCTGAAGCAACAATCGCTGTGGACAAATCCTGAGCAGGGAAGAAAAATTGGACTCTGCAGACCTGGCCCATGGCGTCAGGTTTCAGATACCCTAGGGCAAGGTGAAGCAGGGAGATCTGCGTCACTATGAACTCATGAGGCAGGAGATGTACCAGCCTTTGATTTTTCCCAGTCGTTCCTGCCCATGATCCAGCAAAATACTTCCGTCTTGCTCCTTTGCTGGGAAAGCAGCCGTGCTGGTGCTGGCTGCCATGGTCTGCAGCTCAAGCAGCAGCAGTCTGTCCGTGTTACTGTGCTGAGATCACAGGTTTGCATCCTGAGAGAGGAGTTCAAGGAAGGGGGCAGCCACAATGTACGTTATACAAACTTAGTCTTGCCGTCTGTTTTGAAGAGCCTATTTTGTAATATTGCTAGGGTTGCAAATTTGAGCACTGTAACTTAAAAAATGCCACAGTTACCATTTCCTACATGGCCTCATTATGATCTTTTGGGTATAATGGTGCAATTTTTACTTCCATGCTAGTTGAGAGCTGGATTTTTTCCGTAGGATCCCAGCCACAGGTGCAGAAGGCGTGTGAGGAGAGCAGACAAAAATCTAGTGTTTATCAGGAGCCGTAAATCTGGCTTTAACTCTTAGCGCTTGATTTGGCAATCCAAATAACAAAGGGCTTTTAATTTATCATCAGTAAATAATTAACAAGAAATGGTGAGACTTGTTCTCGCTACAGGTTAGAAGTGCTATGTGTACTGTAGTAGCTATAGGGGAGCTTCCTGCTTGTTATATTTGGAGCAACTCAAGTCAAGCTTGCAGGGTAGCCTGTTGTTTTTCTACATGAAGAAAACCGGCCACATCTCAGGATATGTGGCATCCAGTTGATTGAAGAACATTGTCTTCAGCTCCGCTTTTAGTAAATATGCTGCTCTATAAACTGGCATTAAAACTAAAGCCTACGTTTCATTGGCCTTTTTCCATGAAACAGCAAAGCTATAAAATGGTCTGAGTCATGTAACGAGACCCATTTGAGTGACAGCTGACAACAGAAGATGGAAGGTGTCTATCTTGACAGTTTACATCACCTGCTTTTAAAATGCTTAAGAAAACAGCAGTATTATTTTCCCCGTGTGCATAGCAATGCTAAGGTGCCAAAGTCTCGCAACATTTTCAGCAGTACTCTGTTTGAGGTCTGTCACCCCAGATATTCATTGCATGGAAATACAAACCACCAGAAGAGGAAGACTGGGAAGGAATGGATTATTGTTTTCTATGACAACTAACATTTTCAATTTCCCTTGTCCCGACCCCACTTTTTGTCTCCTTTCCCTCAGGGGAAACAGCAGGAAGACAGCAGGTCCCTACGTCCCCGCCAGCCTCTGAGAACAGCAGTGCAGCGCACAGCATTGGCAGCACACAGAGCACCCCCTGCTCTAGCAGCAGTGCAACCTAACTCCAGGGGGAACACAGCTGAGGAGCAACATAGGAGTGCATGGGTTCAAAGGACTGTGCGTGGACATCAGCTTTTTGAAGTTAAAAGGATTGGTTTGGTTGCTTTTGAAAAAAGGAGGAGGAATTTTCAGGAAAAAAAAAAAAGACTGATTTTCTTTTGGGGAAGCCACTGTGTGTGTGAGTGTGTATATGTGCACACAATGCATGGGTAAACACAGCCTGTTGGATCTTCTATAGCATGTTATGCTACATGTGACAAAGCTACTAATTTTACAGTACTGCAACCTGTTCTAGGGGTCCATGGGCCCTCAATGTGAAATCTATGCCAGTTTGGAAAAATGCTGCTTTGTCTATATTGACTTTTTTCTTTCCCTAAACCTTCTCATTGACACAAGGTATTCATTAAGGGAATTGAACAAGATAAGCAGAACAAAGATGATCTTAGGTCTAAGCAAGAAAGCCTCGAGGTCAGATCTCTTTGGTTAATAACATTTTATTACTTCAGCTATGTTTAGCCACTTTTGAGTAGCCTTCGTTTTGTTAAGCTTACAGCTACAGCATCTCGTTTGCTTTCCTGTTGTGTTTGCAGCTTCAGGTTTCTTCCAGGTATTTTTGTTTTAATATGCATTGATTAGCTAATGGGAGAAGAGCACACTCTAACATTCCCTTTCTTCTTCTCTGGGCCAAAGCTCTTTAATGAGATAATTTTTTTTTAATCTACTATACCAAATACAGGCACACACAAATGTTAAGACAAGTAATGGTCTTATGCACTAACATAGATGTGTGTGTACCGTTAATGGCAATGTCTTTATGCAAATAGATGTGTACCTAAGTATACAGAGCTTAACTTACCACTTTAACAATGGGAAAATGAGCTCAGTGTTCCTTCCATACATAAAATATATGATGCATATATATATATATAAAAAAAAAAAACCCAACTGTCTCTTAAGTTTATAATAGGTAGATAGAGGAGATAAAAAAGGTAATTTGGTTCTAATCCTTTAGCTAGCCCAAATTCCCTTTGAAATAAGAGATGGTTTTGAGGGCAGAAAGAATGTACAGTACAGCCTGTTGTTTGTGCAGAATACTGCCTATCAAAATGAAGCTATTCTCTTAAGATGGTTGTGCAGTTGTTTGTGTCAGACTGTTGTATGAACATTGCAATTGGATGGTCCCAAAGTAGTGTTGGAATATGGAAATGGCAGAAAGGTACTAATTGTCACAGTATTTTTTTTAGTGTCATTGCCATATCTTGACCTTCAAATCGATGCCAAATGAAGAGAAGGACACTTTTAATCTGTAATTGTTTGACTGTTAAGTTGCCACTTTGTAATTGTAATGTGTTCTACTGATCCTTCTCCTTTGAGGAAAAATGAGCATTGTTTTCCTCTAAAAATGAGATGAGTAACTTTTATTAATTTTAGCGAAGGTTACCTGTGCTCTGCAAGAGGAGAAGGGAATTCATTACACTAGAGTGATAGTCTGCTCTGAAGTCTGAGCTGCAGGTTTCTTTTGCTGATTCTACACTTGTGCCTTGCTGATGCCAGGATGGTCAAAGTGCAAGATATGCAATAGATGTAAGTGCCCAGGATCAGGTGGAATATTACTCACTTTAAATCAAATCTATTAACTAATCCTGCAAACATTTGTGCATATGAGTAACTACACACATGCTCCTTGCTAGTACAAGCACATGCTCAACTCTACACCTTATAGCTATTCTCAAAGTCCATGCAGATTATCAGTGTATAGAGTTATACATATGAAAAGTGTTTTATGTTATCAGGCCAATGAGTAGTCCTGGAAACATTGACAGGATTGTCATGTAAGTGTAGTTATCCCCATGCGTAAGGGTATGCAGGATTGGCTTTGTTACGAGGTGTTGGGAGGATGAATGTGCTACCTGTGTGGTCGAAAAGAAAGCGCTTTGCCTAACCTTCAGCAGAATGTATTGTATAAACATATTCTATGTGTAAAGTCTTTAAAGATGTCTTCAAAGAAGACTAGAGTCTTTAATTCAATCATAGCTATATTTTACTACATTAAAATTCTGTATAAAGGTATATTTAAATGTTTCAGATAAATGTAAGTTACTCTATATGAAATGTTTAATTTCAGTTACTGTGAAATTTACGTATTTTGTAAATTCTTTTCCCTGTTTTAACCCTTTCCTTCCTCAGATATTTTATTAAGTAGTTTCTCATAGGAGGTTTTAGATTTGGTTGTTGGGATGGACAGGTTGAAAACTTTTATGTAAAATAGATAATTGTATATTTTTGAGAGAAACATGCTGCATTATCAATGTTTTTTATCAAAAATTTCCTCTAATTTTAAAATAATTTACAGATTTATATTTACCTTTGGATAAACCAAAAAAATATAAAGATCAAAGATTCGATTTGTTGACTTGTATTTGAAATACAGTTTAAATTAACTGAACTTGGGGTACTCAGCTATTTAATTCAGAAATTTTAATCAATCTGAATTAATTGTCTATTGGAGGTTACCAAAACTACATGTAATTACTTAGCAGACAGAACAGCCATTTCTGCTTCAATAGAGAGAGAGAACCAAACCCGGGCATTCCCAGTTAATAGCTTTATTACAAAAATGTATAGTACTTTCCAGCAGCTGTTAAGCTGCCTGCAGTTCAGAGTACTGATATACCTATAAGCTCTACTTTATAGCAGCCGTTTGTCTCTACTGCAAGTTTCTGTGTGTGGTGCGGCAAGCTCCTGAATGTGTAACAACACAACAAAGCTACTGGTTCCCACCTCTGAGAAACATGGTCTTGCCGTGCTGGACTTCACATGGCAGATACCTGTGGGGTGTGGAAGGCCAGCGAGACACTCCTGTCCTGGTGGAGGGCTTTAAAGCAGGGCTTTGGAGGGACAGACTCAGTGGTAAATTTCCTCGTGATGGAATCGACTGCGAAGGAACTTCTTATATAAGAATGGGAGGATTGGGCTTAAGAGGGACGCCTTCTGTCTGTAAAAGCTATTAGTAACGTACTTAAACTCCAAAGCAGACTGCTCGTTGTGTCATGCATCGTCTAATCACTAACTCTAACCTTTTTCAGCATTTGGTTTTGGACATTACTATATCCATGTTTCAAGAAGTCAGATCTTTCTGTGTTAGGCTATTTTTGTAGCATTTTCCACGTGGAAATGGAATTTGCAAAATGTGTGTAGATGCTGATGATTGTAACCTTCCCCCTGCCCTTTTCTAACCGTTTCTCTCCTGTATGTACTGTTCTTTCTGTTATGTATATCTACCTCATGCTTCACAAGAAGACTGTACTGTTGGTTGTGCTGACAGCCCTTCATGTGAGGTGACTGTTCTGCCCTGTTGTTTGTCATTCGTGGGGTTGTTCATAGCATTATCAGATCTTCACTGCCAGTTCCAAACACAATATTCTCACCTTTGAACAAATAAGGACATTTCTTTAAGATCCGAATGCCGGATGTTTTTTTAAATCAAACAATGGGAGAAATTTACTTGCTAATACCTGTGGCCAGTCTGAACACCCCGTTTGTATTTCATATTACATTCAGTATTTCAGAGACTTGTGGAAATGCATAGTTGTACAGTTTTGATAACCACAGTGTCATGTCATCTTAGTCTCTTGTGCATAATAAAGTATATATCAATTTATTAATAAATGATGCTGTGATTCATTTATTTGAAGTTGTACAGAGCCAGCAGCAGTAGATCAAGTTCCGTGTCACTGCCATGTCGTCATGTCCTGTAAATGGCAGTGGGAATTGTGTGTGTTAAGGCAGGATTTGCTTTTGTGTGACCACCTCCATTTTCTCCTTTCTGTGTTCTTTTATCCATTGGCTTTCATTGGCTTCTCAGGATCGTGGCTTCTTGGAGAAACCAGTAGATAAATTCGGTTAAATGCTGCTGTTCTTCACTCTAATTTGAAGTCCAAAGCTCTGATCCTGCAGGCGTTTAGTTGTTGCCTGTCAAGACGCAGCCTCAGTCCTGTCCTACACAAACCCTGGCTTGAGCACAGTCAAGCCTAAGGCTCTGCTGTTAGTCCTCTGGCTGAAGCAGCAGAGCTCCCTTGGGCTGTTGTACCCTTGACTGCAAGTGCACTGGAGACACGTGAGCAGGGCTGCCGTGTGTTTTCGTTACTGAAGGGTCTTCCTGTGCTAGAGCAGATAGTTTGGCCATGTATCAGCAAGGCAAGGATTTGGGTGTTTACTATCCTGCTTATTGCTTTGTTTCCTGTATTTCATGTGCAAAATATTCTTTATGGGCACTCTGGGGAAGCCAGCCTCAGCAGTATTTCCCTGGGGTTATTCAAAGGTTGCGGCTGTTAACTCACAAAAGAGAGTTCCCCAAGAAAGGGATCTAAAATGTTTAATGATCACTTGTAAATATCAAGATTCCTTCAGTACAGAAAAGGCTATTAATTAGAAGATATTGTAAGCTTACATGTTGCCTGTGACTTACAATTCACAGAGGTGCAATAGATTTATTACTTCATAACAGCCATATTTCAGTTTCTGCATTAAGACAAATTTTTTTCCTTTGGAAGTGAGCTCTGTAAAGCTGACTCAGCATAAAGATACTGGAGCTGTTCTTCACCTTCACCTTTAAGATTTGTATTTTGACTGAAACATGGTGTGAAAGCGTGATCAGTGTTTCATATGAGGAATTAATTTTAAAATGCAATTGTTAGCCAACAAATTGTGATATATTTTCATGAGTATTTTTAGACATTAAGAGTCTTACCATATTGCAGAGTAAGCATCGATGTTGTGTGTGTTTGTTTCTGTCATGCATTTGTGAGTGAAGCAAACATTTTGGAGAATCAAAAAATACCAAGTGCCAGTTTCAGGAAGAACACAGTCCAGAGCTCTTCTAAGTTAAACAGAATTAAATTTATCACAGTGTTCCCTCCAAGACAATATAAAAGGATAAAGGAGCCAATATTTTGATAAATTTTCACACCTGTCACTTTGTAGTTGTAAAGCAGATATTTATGAGGCTGGAATTCTGTTTGCAGCTCGGTTTTGGTACTGTATTCCCAGATCTCTGGCCCTAGACCTGGCCTTGTGAACCTGTGTGTGTTTACACTGTTTGAATTCTTTGCATAAGAAAGATCAAATTACATTGCTTCACCTACCAAAAGAAGCTTATGGCTTAAATTACATTTTTATAGCCTCTCATTTGCTAGAAGCCTTCAGGGACCCACTGCAACCTGTCCGGCAGATGATGTGCACTGAGGTGGCTCCAGGCCTGCTGTGCAGCCGGTCTTGCCTGCCTGGCAGTTAGTTCTGTGCTGTGCTGTGCTGCGCTGCAGTTTTACTGTGTTTAGGAAAAGTATAAGGAGGAGCTGGTTTACAGATAGTTGAGGAAGAAAAGCAGCACAAAAGTGTTACTCTTGCAGTTTTTTAAAATGACATTTTTTTCCATCCAATTTTTTTGGCATGTATATCTGAAGAATTGGTTAAAAAATATTTGGGTGGAGTCTCTTTTTGACTGCTGTTACTGCTGCTTGTAAACTGCCAGCTCTAGCAAAGAACATACTGTACTGACAAAAAATTAAATCAGTATTTTAAAAATCAGAATATCGAGTGTTAAGCAGAAAAAGCTGATGGTATTTAAAGATGCTTTAAGTGGCTCCGCAAAACTCTCTGTTTTGTCAGCCATGTAAATTCTTTATGGTATGCCTGCTAAAGTCAAAATGCAGTCCCTGTGAGTGACTCTGGTATTCCCAATTCTCTAA